CAAATCCACCATATCAAGTTACTTTCTATACTTATTTTTGCAAACTATTGTAAATTTCTCATTTCTAAAGTAATATATTAAAAAAATAAAAATATTTATTTATCTAACTAAACCATGAAATGTACTACATATACTAGCAATACTAAATTATCAAGTGATTTTGATGAACTAAATTAACTTTTGTTTATCCAAACATATATGCAAATCATCATGTGATTTTGAGCTAAAAATGACATAAAATCATAATAAAGTCCAACATATAAAGTTACACATGCATCTACATCGTAAAATGAGATAAGCTCTTGATAAAACATAAGAGGATTAAGTTTGTTACCTCCAAAATCGAAGAGCAACACCAATGGAGGGGAGAGAGCAAGAACAACAAATTTGAAGAACAGAGGCGGTGAGTCACGAATGGAATGGCTCGGGCTCGAAAAGGAAGAAATGAGCTGGTCTATAGCCGGGATAATTAGTCCCGATTAGGGGGGCCAAACCGGGACTAAAGATTAATCTTTATTCTCAGGCGTCACCCAAACCCGGGACTAACTGGACTAAAGGAACCTTTAGTCTCGAGGACAAAAAATCTGAGAGGCTAATGTCAAATTGGGACATCGTTGTAAAGTATGTTCTCTAGTAGTGTACTCACTAGCAGTGTTTTACCTAGTTTGTTTTTGTGGGGAAGTGCTTTACCTAGTTTGGGCTTAGTTAATTCCTCTATATTACTCCTTCCATTTCAAATAATTATAGTTCACGTTAGCTTTTTATGCCAAATTTCACTAATTTTTACCAATTTTTAGAAAGACATTTCAATGTCTATAGGTTCAAATACAATAAATAGTATAATATCAAGAAATATTTTTATGAAAAAAATAATGAAACCAATTGATATTGTAGGCGTGTATTATGTACTCTTTTTGTATATACTTGACTTGATTATAATTTAAAAGCTGAGGTAGTAGTTTGGACTTCAGAATGATAGGGTAACAAAGCCAACTAGACCACACACGTACACAATCAAAACAACCTAGAAAGCGAATTTGTTAGCCACTAGTCTTGTCATCACTATGAGAGTATTATAGCGACGAGGCACCAAATTTTGTTCATCACAAGATTGCACATATAGTACGAAAAGAAAGCGAAGAACATGGCCACACACAAAAAGAAATATGAGTCCAAGAACAAAGGCCTACTACAAAAGGCCATTTTAAATGTAGGTAAATCGGTTTTTAGAGGCGATTGCTTTGCTTCTGTCCGAGCAAATGCCTTTGGAACTTGATAGTTTTCAGATGTGGCCAACCACCGCTAGAAATATATGTTAACCGTCTCTACAAATCATTTGTAAAACACCTCTGGAAATGATTTCTACAGCGGTCATCTTATGCCAACCGTTTCTCAAATTCGATTTCTACCTAGGGATGGGTCAGTGAGACTTCCCGCATACAACATAAGCGGGGACAAGTTATTGATTTGCCATGGAAATAAAAGATGGCGATCCCAAAATTGTTTTTAGTAGTGGCCATTGCAAAAATTTGTTGTCTCTTACTTGCCATCAATGTCTCGTGGATCATAGGGTCTACCACCTGTATCATTGACATTGTGAAATATAAGGGATTGATTATACCAAATTGTATTAGAAGGAAGTTAATTTATCCTAGAAAAGACATTATATGTGTTCATTAGGAGATTATTATAGTGTCCGAGCACCAAATTGTTTACTAAAAAAGAAAAAGTATACATATAGTATGAACAAAGTGCATAAGTAAAGTATTTCACGAGTACATCAAAAAAGCATTTCCAGAGGCGGATGACGCCCGCCTCTATTTGTTGGTCTTTATTAAGCAAGCTTTTACTGAGGTGGTCACAATGTTTGTCAAGATAAATAGATTCAAAAAACCAAAAAGCTACAAGACCATCATCGATCCCGCTCTTGAACCTTTATCGAACCCATGAAGCCCATCGATGTCGTTCTTGCTTCACATTCTGTTGTGGAGCCCACCCATGTCATTGCTTCCTTGGCACTATCGTGGAACCCACCCATGCCTACATGCCATTGCTTTGCCTTGCCGACATCATGGAGCCCACCAGCACCAATGTGGATGTCGCCCCTAGCCATCCACAGAGTTCACTGCTGCGCTATTGGAGGCCTCCTCGCCATCATGGATCTTCTCACACTATATTCAAACTGTGTGGAAGAGGGGAGAGTGAGGAGCATGGAGGCGAGTGAGCAAGAAGGAGAGAGATTGGGGATCACTGATGCTGCTGACCGTTGATAGGCACAAGATAGAGCGGCCAATCGCCACCCTAACCTTGCCATGGATCGCATGAGCCACGGATTTGACCGATCTAGGGAAGGTGCAGTGCTCGCCATAGATCTATCTGAGCTCGCCTCCACCCACCTAGGCCAATCTTGCGCTAGAAAGGGCAAGAGCATGTGCAATTGCCGAAGTGGATGATGCCTAGGGATAGTGTCGTCATCTAGCTAGATCCTCTCCAAGGAGGGCATTGGCGCCCCAGCGCCTAGTGAGGTAGCGGAGGAGAGGCGATTGAGGGTAGGGGGAGCTAGGGCGGTGAAGTTGAGGCGGTGGTGGCAGCTCATAGGGGTGGGAGGCCACTGAGCTCGTGTGAGAGAGGTGGAGCCTTTGGGACCTACCAAGAAAAAAAAAAATCAAGGTGGATAAGGACTGGGGTTGTGATCACGAGAAGGGGCGGTCTTTGGCTTATTAGGGTTTACTCGTTGTAAACTAGGCTTTTGTTTTTAATGTGTGGTAGGCCTTTTAAGAGGGCCACTTCTATAAATAGGTCATATTTACGGAGGTGGTTATCTTAAGAAGCTCGCCTCTGTAAATCAATTTCTTGAAGGTGTGGTGTTTTTTGGTTGTCTCCTTAAATGGGCTAGTCGCTTCTAAAATTTACTATTTTTTGGAGCGTCAACACTTTTTTGACCATTTCTGTTAATAAAAACACACGTCTTCTAAAAATTATTTTGGTAGCAGTGAGCCCACCCACGAACAATAATAATCCCAGTAACAAATGTATGTAGAAGTAGTGTCCATCGCATTGGGGGAGAGGACAACAAACGTGACACATGCATAAGATTGTTTGTTGGGAGCGATGGCGTCGTAACAAGACACGTGTCAACGGGACGACAGGACAGATGTGAGGGACGAGACGTGTTTAACTTGTGGGCAGGGCTGATTAGGTTGTTGGTTAGTTTTTCTCGTTGGCGTTGGTGGCCTTTGGCCGGAGAAGAAGTCGTGCGCGCGCTCGTTGAGTGGATTGGGGCGTGTAAGTGCACTCCCAATCCGTCCACTTTTGACTAGTTAAATGACAGTGACACGAGGGCAGCTGATATTTGATGCATGATGATGCATCCTGTCACATGCACCATTTTCCGTCCCCGCGTGCACGCGCATGCGTACATGGTTAACTGTGTTGGGATAATAGAGTATTTACCGATTACCATGCATGGTTAATGCACTGATGATGATGATGGCCTTGGTGGGCAACCACCAACTCGATCCTAGCTTCCATGCAAGTGCACATGATCTGCACGGACACGTTTCCATTTTTTTTTTAAAAAAAGCTAGATTGTTTGCTTGCTTGCTCCCGCACACTGACAAGTAACACAAGGTGATCTCTTTTCTGCCCTTCGAGAAAAGTCTTTTGAACCCATGCTTTAGTATTAGCTTGTATATATATGACAAGTGCAGTGTCGAAGCAGCTGGCACCCTAGCTAGCTAGCTAACGTCCATCATATCTGCCTTTTCCATGCACCACAGACAGACACAGGGGAGAGAGAGAGAGAGCAAGCAAAGGTGGTTGATTGCTTAGAAACCAAGAACACCTCAAAGGCGATCGATGCCAAAACGCTAGCTCATGGTTTTCAATGGAGTGCTGGGGTGAGAGCATGCTTTGCCGCCCTGGTGTGAAACCCGGCCGGGGTCGGGGGCAGGCCCACCGCAAGGGTACAAATGCCTCGTGCCGTCATGCGCTTGGAAAAGTGGCCAAATTCCTACTCTCTCCCGTCACCAAAATATTCCTAAAAACAGTTGGTCACTGGCCTTTTCCACTTGCATCATTGTAGCTGGATGCTTTGAGAGAGAGAGAGAGAGGAAGAGAATTTATCCATTTAGCGGTATTAGCTAGGTTTACTACACTGCAGCCTATGCATGCATAACACTCCTTCTTCTGAGAAAGAATTATTGAAACTTTCTCCCTTTTTTATTCATTTATATATTTATATATATACTACTCCTAGTTCTTACCCATTTTAGCCTTTCTTTTTTTTACTTCCAAACTAATCCACCACACACATCAGCATAATAGCCTGACTTTTTATATGCCTTGACTATTTAAAGGGTGGTCCATTTGGCTCAACTCTAGTAGTAGACCATAATCCTACCTGCACCTCATCATACAATACAAGTGATTAGTATTTTTTAATAGTAATGCAGTTATGCTGCTATATATAGAAAGGTCTATCATTTGTGTGTATTTCCATAAATAGAGTGACACGAGGCTTGAGAATTTTATTAGGCCTGGTTCGCCCACAGTCTAGTCTAGCCCAAAAAAGGCTCCAAAAGGCAGGTCCGCTCAAGTAGTTGGGTGGGAATGGGCAAGAAAACAGGCCCAAAATAAATCAGGCCTAGTGTGAGCCCAACGCGAATTGAAATTTTCATTTTCGCTATTGTAAATATAGCAGCAATCCATTTTTCCTTGTATCGTTAACAAACCATGGGGTCAAACCTACTCAATTACACTTTAGTATGAATCCAATATCCCCTTAGAAAAAAAATATAGCAATCAATAAATTATCTAAACAAGCAGCAAATAAATAAGTGCTATACACATTAGAGGAGCATAATTTAATGCATTAATAGGATTCCAAATTTGCTACCGCCCCCACCCCTATATAGAATAGAGTGGACAAGGAGGCGACGCCACACACAATTGAAACATAATAAGAGTAACACAAAGAAATCAAGAATCAGCTCTCCCTGATGGCACTTCTCAACAAGGATGCCAAGGCTCTATGCTTTGCAACCCTTATTGTCATGGCTATGGTATTCTCGTCTTGTGAAGCAAGAGGTAGTAATAATTTATATACAACCACACATATATGCATGTGTATTCTATTTACACATAATAATGTGTTACATCAACTTAGCTATATAAAAGTTCCTACCTAATGAAATGCAATACATCATATTTGCAGGTAGTATGTGCTGATTTTTTTCTCCATGCTACGACATATTATTGTGGGGGCATAACAGATGCTCTAGGGTACAAGAACCCCAACCCACACTGCCTTTATACACAAGATTGGCCATAACGGGCTTATAAATGTTGTTGTTAGGCTAAAACTTGGGCTTCTTGCCCCTTGCTCTAATTGGATGTACCGGGGCTTCATCAAGATGGTGAAGTCAATATGTCTCACCAACTATGGATGTTGGTTGACTAAGAATAATAATAATTTGTGATGCTAAAATTTATGTTTTCATAAAGAGAGTAGAAATGCAATCCGATGTAACTTTCGAGGTGTTTCTTTTATACATCCATCTGTGCAACTGCTTGGATATTGGGAAATGTAGAGGATATAGGGAAACAAGGGGGTGATAGATCCTGATCTGCATGTATGGATAATGAAATGAATAGGATAGAAAAATAAAGAGCATAATCATTCCATAATGTCATTCCGCTTATCCCAATCCATTTTCCCATTCCCTATCCCCATCCCAATAAAAAGTGTTACCGAGAACATATCCTAGGCCCCTGAGCCTTTAGGTGCTCCCCTGTGCTACATCTAGAAAAACCTAAGAAAACAGTGCTTGAAAAAATTCTTCCAAAATGCTTCTAAGGAGGAGAGATGATGTAAGGATCCATCTTCATGAAGATTTTGAGGATTAAAAAATCTTGCACATAGAGGAACAAAAAAAAAAAAGAGAAAAATCAAGATGTAGTTGGATGCGGGTTGCGGATCCGTGCAAACAATGCACCTGACCCAATTCATTATATGATGATTATTATCTCCTTTTTGTTTCTACTTGTACAAGATTTTAACTATTCTAAATTTTCCAAAAGAACATAGGTCCTTATACATCATCTATCCATTTATATTTCCTATTGAATGGTTTTTTTTGAACGGGAGCACGAATGCACGTGAGCACAAGATACATATTCCCATTCATCCACTTGGAAAGTGTAGAGTATTTAATGTGTCCATTAAAT